AGGAGCCCCTGGACCAGAGCGGCCCATGGACTCTGGCGGGAGAACAAGCGGGCGACCCTGGCCACGGGCGACTCCTCTGGCCACCGGCTTGCTCTCCACAAGGCAGTGTTTTGGGGTCCCCTCTCCTTGTTATTTGCCCCCCTTCCTTCCAGCAGAATCCACCACGTCGGCCGGGTCAGCAGAATCAGAGGCAGCAGGACCCAGACACGGGCCGGGCCGGCCACCCTGTCCCCGCCCCTGCCCCTGCCCCTGCCGCCCAGGCAGCCTCGAGCTCACCGCTCACCACGGAGGTGGGAGAAGTCGGAGGGGAGACTCAGGGAAGGACCCCACCGCTCCTGGGAGGTGGAGGGGGAGGAGCTGGGCCAGCCTTGGCCCTGTCCTGGGGGCCCCGGGGCAGGATGGGCCCGGCGCATTTTTTTCATTTTTCTGCATTTCTTGGTTTTAGCAAAAGAATGTGCTGCGCTGGGAAGCAGCCGGCGGCAAGCCCACATCTGCGAGCCAGGCGCTTGCCAGCCGGGAGCCACGCTCAGACAAAGCAGGCCGTCTTCCGAAGCTGCCCCAGCTCCGGCGGGCCGGGCGGGGCAAGGGACCGGGAGCCTCAGGGACCCCAGTGCTGCCTCCACAGGACAGAGCCCCCTCCTCCCAGTCCTGTCCCCCCTCCTGGCTGCAGACCCCACCCCCAGATCAGGTTTCAGCATGGGGGCCCGCACGTGGCAGAAGGCTGCTGGTTGGGTGGAGCCTCACCTGGGCACCAGGCGCAGATCCGTCCAGGGAAGGGCCTGGGGGTGGGGCGCGGGTGGCGGTGCTCTGCGGCTCGTCCCCCAAGGGCCTGGGTGGCCAGCGGTGTCCCACACGCACGGGGGCAGGGCCGCTCTGATTCTGCGTCCGGGGAGCTGGGGCGTCCCGGGGGGAGCTGGGGCGGGCGCGGGGCGGCCACCTCCCGGAGGCCCATTCAGAGGCGCCCTGAGCACTGGCCGAGGAGGGGCTGGCCTGGGCGGTGTGGGCGGGCTGGCGGTCAGTCCCGGGCAGTGGCTCCGCCCCGCTCAGCTATGTGCTGGCTTCCTCTGGAGTCTTCCCCCTTTTCCTTTCCCCGCCCTTTCATCTCATAAACTCCCAGCCAGCGAAACCTTTGCTCTTCATTTCAGTCCCGGGCCAGTGCCACCCTGTAGGACACCCAGACCGGCCTGGGGGGTCCCCCACCCCAGGACCTGCCCCTCAGGAGCCAGCTCCCCCAAAGTGGGACCTGGCTCCCTGGTCCGATGCTCACAGCGGAGAACCAGCCCTCCAGCCGCCACCAGAATCCGGGTCAGCCCTGCGCCTGGCCCCTGGCCCTGGGTGGGGGCATCGCCCCTGAGGCCACCCCTGCCCGAGTGCTGGGGACCTTCCACCTGCCCCTGCCCTGCTCTTTCTGGCCCAGGTGGACCCCAACACCCTGCCCAGAGCCACCTGCAGGCTCCCACCTGCACTGAGCCCAGCACCGGCTGGGATTGCCTCACCAGCAGCCTGCTGGCCATCTAAACACACACTGGCCCTTTCCTCCCTTCTCTGTCATATTCTGCCCTCTCTCTGAAAGGTCAGCCCCCACAAACCAGCTGGTGAAAAACTCCTATACATTCGTCAAAACCCATTTCAAATGGCCCCCACTGCTATAGGACTTGGGACCCTGACCCTCAGTCAGCATGCGCTCCATTCCTGTGGCCTGGACAAGTCCCTGGAGCAGAGGAGGGGCTCTGCCGTGTGTGTGGCCTTCGGGATGGAAGCCTTCCTCGGTTTACCCCCAAGCCCAGCGCGGAGCGGGCACCCACCCTCGCCTCGCCTGCCTCCTGGTCGGGCACAGCCCCACCCACCACCAGCTCCCAGTGCTGACACCACCCCCCGCCCTCCCAGGACACGGTCCACCCCCCTCCCAGCCGGCACCGCCTCCCACACGTTCGGAATGGGCCCAGGCGGTGCCCAGGCAGCAGCCCCCGTGCAGCCCGGGCCACGGCCAGGGCAGGGCCAGGAAGAGCCCAGGACCCCCCGTGGCCGCAGCACTTCCTCTGCTTGTTTGTTTCCTGTGTCTCGGGGCAGAGGCTGTCGGAAATGCAGGCTCAGCGAGGGCGGCCCAGCTTTCCCACGCCCCTCGCTCCTGACGGGAGGAAGGCAAGCGGAGCACCAGGCCCAGGAAGGGCTGGGACGGACGGACGGACAGACGGCGCTCCTCGTGGGCAGCAGCCATGGGGGAGGGGGGTGCTCCTCGAGGGGCAGCTTTGCTGGTGCAAGTCACACGCGGGAACTCGCCCGAGACTGAGCGGCCCATGGCGCTGGGTCTCGTCCGCAGCGGGGACGCCACGGGGCCCAGGCCGCAGGCCCCGGCCGGTCGCCACGGACGAGTGCGCAGCCTGAGCCGCCAGGCGGCCTCCGCACAGGCCCCCGGGGACCAGGCGCGGCCTCCCCGAGGGTCAGGCGCTCTCCGGTCCCTCACCCACGACTGACATCGGAAAACGAGGCCAACGTCTCACCGCGGCCTCTCCAGGAGCGAGACGGGACGGACAACAGTGAGCAGCCCAGAGGGGGACGCGGCCGGGCCCAGCCCTGCCTCCCCAGGCCCCCCCTGCCCCCCGGGGGCGCAGCCACTGCAGGTGGGAGCCCAGGGCCACTCCAGGCACAGCCTGGGACCCTCCCACCGATGGACAGGCAACCTGGGGCCCCGAGGTGAGGCCTAGACTGCACAGCCATGAGGGGAGCCAGGGGGGAGGGGGAGGAGGACGGGAGGGAGGGGGGAGGGAGGAGAGAAGGAAATCTCTGGCAAGCAGAGGCCTCAGGAAGGCCTGCTGTCCGGGTGCGAGAAGGTGGGAGCTGTGGGGGATCAGGAGGCAGACTCGTTGCCTAAGGTGCCTGGAGAGGGCGCAGGGAAGGGGGAATGTCCCCTGGGTGCCCCCTCCTGGCCCAGCCATCCTAAGGCACCAGCAGGACAGTGCTCCACGCCCGCCCAGCCCCTGGCATGCCCGCAGGCCCATGGGTCCCGGGGGCCTCTGTCTGCCTGGTGCCACTCAGTGAAGGGACCCAGGTTCCCCCACGACAGGAGCGTCCAGGAGGGCGGGGCCGGGACAGAGAGGGCGTCTCCGTGACCCACACGAACGACAAACGAAGAGGAATCTTAGAAGCCCCAGTGACCAGGCCTCAGCCAGAGCCTGGGCCACTCTGCACCCCCCTCCCCCTGTCCCCCCTTCCCCCCATCCCGGGAGCTGCTTGTCCAGCACCGGGAGGCCCTGCTAGGATCCAACTCCACGGTCGCAGAGAAGGAGCTGCAGACAGACTGACCTCAGCGACGCCCGCGTCACGCGGCCCCACCTCCTGCTCCCCAGGAGGCCCCGGCAGCTGCCCCTCCTGCACCCGTCCTCTCCCCCCCTGCCCCCGCACGCCCTCCGCAAGGCCCTGCCTTTTCTCAAAAGGATGGCGTTCTCCTGGCTTTGGGGTTTTTACAAGCTCCCTCTTCCTCTACACGTGCACGTGTGTAAACGCGCAGGAAGCCACGAAGACCTCGACCAGGCACAGCCGTGACCACACATACACACACACGGGACACACACATACACATGGTGCACACACACACACGGGACACACACACACGGGACACACACACGAGACACACACGGGACACACACATGAGACACACACATATGCACACGATGCACAGATGGTACACACGCACACACACGGGACACACGTGTGCCATGATAAAGTCCATGAGAACAGACTAGAACGTGGCAGGATCTAACCCAAACAAGACGCTCGGCCAGGGGGCCCCCTAATTTGGGGCCAGCAGGTTCCACTGTGAACACCCCAAGGCTCCGACAGGCTGAGCCACACCAGTCACCAGGGTGAGCCTGGCGCCCCGTCCACGCCCCCGTCCCTCCGTGACTCCGGAGGCTGACCCTCCTCGGCTCCACCCCCACATCCTCCCCAGGGAGTCCCGCGGGGCGTGGGCAGCGAGGACGGCACCGGCCTGCCCTCCCTCCGGGCTGCGAGGGAGCCGTCCGCACGGGGCCCGGCTCAGAGGCTTGGGAAGAGGACAGCCCGCGGGGCGCTGGCGGGCACTCCCAGGGGGACACCCCCAGGTTCACAGGCAGGGCCGCCCGCACCCCTCACATCGCCTGTCCCAGCGGGGCGGCACGCACGGGGACACGGCGCCCGCGTGGCTCGGTGTCGGACCGCGAGCTGTCCCCTCGCCCCGCGGCTGACCGCTGGCCCTGCCCGCCCCTGCGGCTCATTTTCACGCAGTTTCCAGCCGGCACCTTCCCTTTCTCGTGTTCCACCGGGGGGCAGGGCAGGGGGGTGACAGGAGCTGCCCCACCCCAGCCTGTGGGCCCCCACCCACGGGGCCTGCCCAGGTCGCACACGCCACTGTCCCACCGGCTCCAGCCCCTGGCAGACATTCTCAGTCACATCACGAGGCGCCAAAGAGCGAGTCCGCAGGGAGGGGTGCAGGCCTGGCAGAACGTTCCCGTGCCAGGCTTTGAGGACTGACCACTTCTTCTGAAAACAAAACCACAGCCTCGCCCGCAAGTGCCTCTCCCTGGATGGGCACGGGGTCTCCTTGCTTCCTGGGGAAGGCATGGCAGGGGGCTGAGCACCCCATCGCCGGCAGGTAACACTCCGCCCGCCCCGCCCGGGCCCCTGACACGCCGGCGTGGAACCCTCCAGAAGCTGCCCACCCCAGCCGCGGCCACGCCCCTGGAAGCTCGAGGGCAGGGCCCAGTGTCGAGGACACAAGGAGCCAGGACAGGTCAGGGCACCGGGCGTGGCGAGGGTTGCCTCACCGCCTGAGCGCGGGGCCCCTTCCTCTTAAAGGGGGTCCCGTGTCTTCTCCCAAGTCCGCGCTGCGCCCCGCTGCCCGGCCGCCGAGGCCACTGTGACCTTCCCCAGGGGCCCGCCTCACAGACACGCAGCCGATCTGGGCGGCAGGCGGAGACGTGACACACACAGAAGACGCGCCTGGAGCAGGGGGCGGCCCTTACCGTGAGCCGCTCGGTACAGGCCGCTGGCGCTGCCCATCGGGGGCCCGGGCGGGCTGAAGGCGGGGTGGTGCGGGGGCGTGGTCACTGGAAGAGACGCAGGGTGAGCAGGGCCGTGTCCGTGTCCGGAGGCAGGGCGGGGACCGGGGGTGCCCTTCCCTCCGTCCTCACCATACGGCGTCAGCGGAGACACGGGGAACGCCGGGGTGGGTGACGCGGAGCCGCTGCCGGTCTTGCTGGGAGAGAAGACCCTGCCGTCGACCACACATTCACCGAGGTTTGCGGGATGTGCGGGAGTCACCGTCTGAAAGCAACACGGCCAGGGAGGCCGCCCTTGAGTCAGCGTCTGAGGGTGGGGACGGGGGATGGGGATGGGGCTGGCTCCCCACCCACAGCCCCACCCGTGGGTCAGGGGCCGAGTGATTGAGAGTCGGCAGCCGCACCCCTGGGCCCCCCACCACACCCCTGCCGCTCGGGAGCCCCTGGGGGGCAGGCGGGCGGGGAGGCCGGTGGGGGATGGGCTGCGGTGGGGGCTGGGCTGCGGTGGGGGTGCCGTACCTCCTTGGCATCTGCTGGCGACAGGAAAGGCGCCCGGCCCGGAGCCTGCTCCACGCCCAGGGGTGTCCCCCACCCGCACTGGGAGAAGGCCGGCCCCCCAGTGTGGTTGTCGTACTGGCCGAGGCTCGGCTTCCGGAGCCTTCTGCGCAGCAGCTCGTCGCCCGGGGAGCCTGTGAGGAGAGACACACGGCTGCGGGCGGCGTCACGGGCTCGGCCACCGCTCCTGAGAGACACGCCTGCTTCCTGTCCGCCTCCCGGGCCGGCGCCAGAGGGACTGTCTGCTCCGCGTCTGGAACTGTCTGCGCACAGTAGGTGCTCAGGAAACACGGGAGAAGGGACGCCCAGGGCCGGGCACGGGGAGGGGGGAGCACCAGGGCCGGGCACGGGGAGGGGAAGGCCCGGGCATGAGACTCCTGCCTCCTGAACGAGCCCCTCTCCCCGGACACTGAGCTGCCTGGCTGGTGGGGACAGGAGGGGCCTGAGGGAGGCGTCTCGCCATGTCCTGCTCCTGCGTCGTAACTGTCGCCAAAGGCGCAGACGGAAAGGCCCGCACGGGGAGGGGCTGGGGCGCCGTTGACAGGGGCCGGCCGGCTCCCGTTCCTCCCGCGCATTTGAGTCTCTCCTTTATCACCGGCCCCCCAAGTGACTCACTGGCCTCCTCACACACGTCGCCTCAGCAATCACAGCGCCACGCGGGTCCCGGGCCGCCCGCCCTCGGGCCCACCTCCTGTTTGTTTTCACGCTTAGGAATGCGAGGGGGTTTCCAGAACCCTCCATGGTGCGGGGTGCCACGGGGAGACACTCACAGCTTTCGTACGAAGTCAGAGCTGTGGCTCCCGGCCGGTCCCTGCCGCCCTCGTCCTGACCTCTAACCTCCACCCACCTGATCAGGTGAGTGCGTCGTTCTCCCGGGGGCCCTAAGGGGCTCCTCTCTCTACCCGGACACGGAGCCGCCCCCCCCCCCGCCCCGCCACCCCTCGGGGGCCGTCCTCCAGCCGCCTCACACCTGCGGGCTCCTCGGGAGTGAACGAACTGCCTGCAGGTGTCCAAACAGACCCCGTGCCTGGGCGCTCACGCACTCCATTCCGTGGCCAGAAAGTTAAACAGCTCAACTGTCCGTCACCAAGGAGCGGACAGCTGCCCACAACGGCCGTTCACACACGGAATACTGCTCAGCCCTGAGCAGGGACGAGCTCTGACCCACGACGATGCAGGGAAGTGGGAAACATGATGCTAGTGAGGGGCTCGGACCTGCCTGCTCTGCCTGCTGTGCCCCCTCTGCCTGCTGTGCCCCCTCTGCCTGCTGTGCCCTCTGCCTGCTGTGCCCGCTCTGCCTGCTGTGCCCTCTGCCTGCTGTGCCCTCTGCCTGCTGTGCCCGCTCTGCCTGCTGTGCCCGCTCTGCCTGCTGTGCCCTCTGCCCGCTGTGCCCGCTCTGCCCCCTCTGCCCGCTGTGCCCTCTGCCTGCCCTCTGCCTGCTCTGCCTGCTGTGTCCTCTGCCTGCCTGAGGCCAACAGCCAGGCCTGTGTCTGGGCCATCTGTGGCTCGGGGTCAGCTGTGCACAGCCTTCCTGCCAGAAGGTCAAGGTCATTCCCAAATGCCACAAGGGTCTGAGGATTAGTGTCTGGTTTTCTGAGACGGAACCTGCCGACATGACCACGGTTCTGAGCATGACGCCCCCTGAAGGCCGTGCTTCCTGCACGGGGAGCAGAGGGCTGAGGGCTCCGCAGCTGAACTTGCGGCGAGTGAGCAGGCGCGGAGAACGCTGCTGGTCTGGGGCCGAGGGTCACGTCCTTCCCTTCAAACGCCACGGAGTCACTTTTATATAAAGGAACTGAGATTCTCTCAAAGCAAAATTCCAGCTTCGGCCCCGGCCGGTGCTCAGTCGGCGGGAACGTCATCCCGCACCCCCAAGGGTTGCGGGTTCAATTCCTGGACACACGCCTAGGCTGGGCTTCGATCTCTGGTTGGGGCACATGCAGGAGGCAGCCGATCAATGTTCTCTCTCCCTTCCTCTCTCTAAAAAGCAGTAATAATATTAAAAATCTTTAAAAGGAAAATTCCAGGAACGAAAGTGGTGAGCTTCCCAAACGATTTCAGCTCGAGCGCGGAGCAGACACCCCAGGCCCCGCGCTCTGTCCTGCATCACCTCGCGGATGAGGAGTCCCTGGGGACTGCGTTCCACCAACGGGAAAACCATGAAGCTAAAGCCCCTGGGTGGTCCTCAGCCCTGACCTCCCCTCCCCCGTCCGCACGGTAGGTCACTGCCTGTCCACTGCGGTCATCTGCCTTCCCAGGTCCAGCGGCTGGACAGGACGGCCGACCGGTCCTTCCCCCACATCTCGGGGACGAGGGCCCTGCAGCCCCGCCGGCTCCCTGAGTATGGGCCGCTCGGCTGCAAGGGTGCACCAAGGGTGCACCCAGGGTCCCCACGAGGCTGCACTGCCCTGTGCTGGGCCCTGGAGCTCTCGCCCTGGATTCCGCCACCTCAGCCCCTGCTCTCCTGAACCTGCCTCTCTCCCCATCGTCCCTCCGCACGCCCCCTCCACCCACTGGCAGCCTCTCACCACCAGGATGGGGCCCCAGGGTACGCACAGGGCCAGCTGCCACCTCCACCCCCACTCCGTCCGAGGCCACGCGGCAGAACACGACGCGTGAGTGTGCGCCCGGGAAACGCCAGCTCACCTTGCTGCCCGGGGGGCCGGCCGGGGTCCCCTCCTCTGTCCTGCAGGCGGCCGCTGGCCCGGGGCCCACCCCCCACGCCATCTGGGGCCGAGGGGCTGCTGGCCAGGCTGCCCAGCTTGTTCATGTGGGTGGGGAGGGGCTCGAAGGTGGGGTCCAGCTCCAGGATCAGCCTGTTGAGCTGGTCGATGGACTGGTCGATGTCCAGGGTGGGGGAGCCTGGGGAGGGGTCCGGGCTGGGCTCCGGGCCAGTCCCGTTGACAGCGCTGACGCCTGGGAGCCTGGCATTGCCGGCTCTGCCGGGAGTGGGCCGCTGGGTTTCAGGGGTGTGTGGTCCGGGGCCTGTGGCCACTCTGCTGCTGGCCCCCCGGGTGGGGATGACCGGGAGCCCAGGCTGGGCCTGCACCCCGCGGGCGCTGTCCCCCGGGCCTCGGGCCACAAGCCGGGCCTCCCCATCGGAGGCGAAGCTGTACTGGTGGGTGGCCACCATCTGCTGCTGGCGCACCCAGGTCTGCGTGGAGTAGCCGCCCGGCTCGTAGGCCGGCATCTGGGCCAGCGCGCAGGGCGCCCGGAGCTCGGGCGGCGGCGGCTTGGGCTCGCAGCTCCCGAACGCCTCCCGTGCGAACAGGGGCTGCCCGCCGAGGCCCAGGTCCGGGACGGGGGCGCCGTGCGGGTCCTCCCCGGCGCTGCTGCCGAACCCGTCCGACAGGAGCGAGTTGTGGCTGCTCTGGTGGCCGGCGAAGGGGCCCAGGGCGGCCGCCGGGTGTCCCTCCGAGGAGGAGAGGGTCCCCACGCTGTCCACGCTGCGCAGGTCGTGGCTGGGCACCTCGTCGTCCAGGATGTCCGTCTCCCGGTCCTTCGCCGCGGCGGCGTCCCCGTTCACGTGGACCTGGGCCGGCACGACGTGACGCGTCCCGCTGATCTTGCTACAAGCATCGGTCATGTCCTTGACGGGGCTTCCGGAATCTTCTAGGCCAAAGCCACTGAGCAGCTGGTCCAGCTCGGCCTTCTCCTGGGGGCTCAGGCCCCGCGGGGGTCCCGGGGCCAGGGGCTCCTCCGTCCGGTCCGTCCGCGCCGAGGCCGTGGAGTGGCCGGAGTCGCTGCTCACCGACAAGGTGTGGTCGCCGTGGTCCGGGCTGCTGGCGGCGGGGACGCCGGGGTCCAGGGCGCTCTTCTTCCGCACCTTGGCGTACAGGCTGCCGTCCACGGGGCCCTGCGTGTGCAGCACTGGGGGAGGGAACAGAGAGGCCGTCAGTCCCGGGGGACGGGGCCCTGGGAATGGGGTGGGCATCTGGCCAGACAAACTCCGAACGGACAGCGCAAGCACCGAGTCCCCAGCCCTGCACCCGAAAGCCCACGGACAGCGGCTCAGGTGACCAGTGTCTGCCCGGGACGTTTCTGCCTTTTTCCTTTTTTTTTAAAGGAATTTTTCTTTTTAAAAAAATATTTTTGTTGATTCAGAGGCAGGAAGAGGGATAGAGAGACAGAAACATCAATGATGAGAGAGAATTATTGATCCGCTGCCTCCTGCATGCCCCCCACTGGGGCTGGAGCCCAGGCATGTGCCCTGACGGGAATCGAACCCGGGACCCTTCGGTCTGCAGGCCGACGCTCTATCCAACGAGCCAAACCAGCCAGGGCCGTGTCTGCCTTTTTATGCAGCGACAGTCATTCAGAGTCGCCTGCCGGAGGGCTCACTGTTAGTTCCACCAGCAGGGGGGATGCTGAGCTCAGCCCTGCCTGCTCATCCCCGAAAATCGAGCAGGAACGGGGCCCCGAGGATCAGGCAGGCTTCCCTCCCCGCCGTCAGCACCCACGGAGCCAGGCCCACTCCTCCTGGACAGACAGCGCTGGGATCTTCTCAAGTCTCGTGTCCTCGATGGGGAAAGACAGGGCAGGACCGGCCTCGGTCTCCCCGCCACTGCGGCGTCTCTGGGCCAGGGAGGGGCCGAGGCGACAGGGGCAGGACTCAGACACGGACGCCAACGCCGCCCCGATCGCCACACAACGGCCAGGAAAGGAAACGGCGGCCTTGGGTGTGCGGGGAGCCCACCCAGCAGCCAGCACCAAGGCCCCCTCAGAGGACCCGCCTTCCCGGGGCCAGGGCCTCGCTGGCCGTCACCCACAGACACGGCCTGTCCGCCGCCCAGGGACACGCAGGCGCAGCACGCAGAGCCGGAAGGAAGACGGGCCGTGCAGTTGGTGCCTCATTAGAGGGCGGCGGCTGCGTCACCCACCCCCCCTCCCCCCAGCCCCTGGCCTCTGACAGGTACGTTCTCACAGGAGGGAGAGGTTCTCAGAAAACATTTCCAAAGCACCTGAGAAAACAAGGAAGCTCAGAAAAGATGAAAACTTCCTTCCCATCACGGCTGAACACAAATTAACCCGTGTCCACCTGTGCACTCAGGCGTGTGCCCAGGTGTGTACCCAGGTGTGTGCTCACACGTGTGTGCCCAGGTGTACGCTCATAGATGAGTTAAGGATCAGCCCGATAGAGACACTCCTTCCAAACGCTAACCACTGAGCCACCAAACAGGTGCAGAACTGAATGTAATGCCCCAGCTCTGCTTCCGCAGAAAGTCACCCCAAAACAAGGTGGGCAAGCCGGCTGGCCATCAGCCACCTGCCCTCTCCCATCTCTGCCTCTGTGAGTCTGTCCTCCTTGGTGACAGGTTTACTTAAAAAGCAACTTTTTGTCCAGGTGCTCAGCGGTTGAGCATGGAGCCAGTAACCAACAGGCCACTGGTTCGATTCCCAGTCGGGCAGATGCCCGGCTTGTGGGCTCCACCCCCTGTGGGGGCGTGCAGGAGACAGCCGATCCATGATGTCTCTCTCTCATCGATGTTTCCATCTCTCTATCCCTCTCCCTTCCTGTCTCTCTCTAAAAGAAAATCATTAAAATACATACATTTTTAAGAAAAGCAACTCTTCACTGTGAAAGAGCTGGAGTGCCCCTCCCCCCACAAGCCCTCCTCGGAGAAGCGGTCGTCTCCGGGCGGATGGGGAGGGGTGTGTGCAGCTACCCCCCATTTTCTGAGACTCTTTGGAAATACTTTCTGAGACCCTCTCCCTTCTGTGGGAATGTGCCTCTCAGACGGCACAGGGCTCACCCAGCACAGGCTAGGCTGCTGGTGCTGACGGCCAGGGACCAGGCGCCCGGGGGTCCTCCCGGGGGGGCGGCCTGGGGGGGGATGGGACCAGAGGGGAGGAGAGGCAGGTGCACCTCCCAGGCAGTCAACGGGCAAGAGGCGGGAAGAGGGAGCGGACAAGAGAAGGGGTGTGGCCAGGCCAGGCTGCTCCAGGTGAGTTATTCCCACGTCAGAGGACAGTGAGCCTGAAACTGGCCTGTGAAGCCCACAGCTCATCCCAGCGCCTCCCGGGAGCCAGGGCAGCGGCCGCCCGGAGGGTCCCACCGCGTCCCCAGCAATGCGGAGCCGCAGGGCGGGGGAGCCCGCACAGGTGGGAATCGGAGGCTGGGGGGCCGTGGGGGCCCTCCCTGCGGTGGAACCCCGCTGAACACCCCCAGGAATTCCAGCCCGCCTCGCCCCTGCTTCCCGCTCCTTAACTGAGGAATCCCAAACCCAACCCACCACTTTCTGTGCGATCAGCAATTTAATGTCAGAAAGGAATTTGCCTGAATGTTTTCTCTGCCGTTTCACACGCACACACGCCGTTCCTTAGCAACGACTCGAGCGCCCTGTCTCCATCCCCGCCCCCTCTCCCACCCATCGTGAGGCGGCTCCGGTCCCAGGCAGAGGCCTGGGCTTGGTGGCTGCTGGGTGGACGTGCGCTTCGGCCCCGATCACCAGTGCGCCCGCCGGTCCCCACGGCTGCTCAGCTCGCCCCCCCAGACCCAGCCCATGAAGGACGGCCCCTGCCCGCCCGCCCGACCCGCCGCAGGACGGGCCTCCTCTGGACACGGCCCCAGCAGCCCCGTGGGCGCTCTCCAGGTGACTCGCTCCGCTGGCCACCAGCCACAGCAGCACGTCCAGCTGTCCCCACCGTGGAGGTGCTGGTGGGACCGTCTGCACAGCTCCCTGTGGCCACGGAGGGCGCCACGGCCTCGGCCCCCAGGACAAGTGTCCAGAGGAGAGACCGCCCACCAGCTGCCTCTGCACCGGACGCTCTGCGTGGACGCAGCCCCACAGGCTCGACTCCGCCCGGCACGGGGTGGGGGTGGGGGGGGAGGAGAAGCTGCAGGGAATGACGTGCAGAAGGAAGGTTCTGCTGGTTCTGGTGGGTTCGGGACAGGACAAACCCCTACAACTGTGCACTAAACAGAGTGAACGTCACCGCGTGTAAATCACACCTCGATGTAGAAATGACCGTGGGCCCGGCCGCGCGGCTCCGTGGCCGAGCATCAACCTAGGAACCAGGAGGTCAGGGCTGATTCCCCGTCAGGGCACAGGCCCGGGTGGCGGGCTCGATCCCCAGTGCGGGGCGTGCAGGAGGCGGCCGAGCCAGGATTCTCTCTCATCACGGATGTTTCTCTCCCTCCCTCTCCCTTCCTCTCTGACATCAGTAAAAATGTTCACGAAATCAAGACAGAACTGAGACGCACGGCAGAACGAGCCGCCCTGCGGGCCCCTCCTCCCCGCTCCCCCGCCCGCTCCCCCGCTCCCCCCCAGGACCTCCCGGGCCCCGTGGGCAGCGACCGGGCTCTTCCCTGGGAGGCTGGCCCGGCCCGGCCTCCCTTTGCTAGGCTGGCGGCCTTTTCCATCAGTGGCTCCGCTGCCTGTGTCCGCCCCCTCCAGCCTTCCTGGCATCACCCGTCTGGGCTTGACCCGGGCCTGAGCACAGCGTGTGGCCTTGGGCGAGTTCTTGGGCCTCGCCGAGGGCTGCCCTGGGGTCCCGGGGTCCCGGGGTCCATTCTGGGGCGCAGAGGCCGGGGCACAGGAGAGTCCCCTCGTGTCTGACTAATGTCTCAGCTCAACAGACCTTATGCTCAGAGAACTACCCTGGAGAACGGATTTAAAAAATGTGTCCAGGCTCCGTAAGCCACTGCCACGACTCAGCCCGGCCCAGGCCTCCTGCAGACCGTCCGTCCTGGGCGGCTGCAGCCGCTCTAACTGCTACCAGATCTACGTTCACTTCCATGCACCAGAGCCCGCCTCCTGCTGAGCTAAGACGCGCCTGCCTTTGTAGGGAATACCTCCCGCGGCAGAGCCAACAGGGCTACGAGCCGGCCGGCCAGCCGCCCGCCCGCCCGCGCTGGGCTTCTGAGCACATCCCTGCAGCCGGCAGAGACCCCGCGGCTGACGGTCAGCAGCACCGCGCCCTTTGCCTCTTTTTCAAACAGGAGCAGCCCAGGGTGGTGACAGACCACTGCGTCCCCACGGCGTGACGTGCGGCCCCGTCCCCCGACAGGTAAACGCCACTGCTCTCCGGGCGGGTTTCCAGACGTGCCCCCCACAGCACCTACTTCTCTTCCTGAGGGTGCACGCCCAGCGAGCCCAAGCTCAGAGCCGAGCCCCAAACTCAGAGCGGCCTGAGGGGCCAGGCAGGAGGCTCTCGGCAGTGCCACGGCCGCCGTGCCTGCCAAGGGGCTGCTGAGAGGTGCCGCGTGGAGCACCCAGGCTCTGCAAATGTTTTCTAGAAACGAGCGGCCTCTAGATTCTTGGAGAAACAGACCAGAGAAAAGGCCAGCGGAGGAGTGAGGCGCTCCGGCCGGAGCAGCCGCCTCCGGGAAGGGGCGTGCCCGAGGGACCCACCTCGGGGAGGTCTGGCTCCGGGTGTCCCGGGGCGGCTCCGGAAGGCAGACACCGCGGTGGGACACGGAGGGGCTGCGGCTGGCATGTCCTGGATGTGGCGACTGGACGAGGCGGCTGCGGGGGCCAGCGCGGCCCCTCTCCCGTGCCCCAACCTGCTGGCCTGCCCAGGGCACCGGCCTGGCAGCCTCTGCAGTGCAGCCAGGCCTCTCAGACACGCCCGCCTCAAACCTTCCATCCCGCGAGGCAGCAGTCACCCTGCTGACCCGAGAACCAAGTCTCCTGAGGCGGGCGGCACGGCCCCTCCTGCCATGGCCCCTCCTGCCATAGAAACCCCGGCTGTCACTCAGCTCCCAGCCTCCTCCGCGCCCACCGCCACCATCTCCTGCCTCGGACGCTCTGTCTGTTGTGCACCCCCAGGCAGAACGGCTGTCCCGGCGCCAGGGGCTTTGCAGAAGCCACCCACCCTCACCCAGACACATACATGCATGCACACAGCCACGCACACACGCACACACACGCACACACACACACACACGCACACACACGCCTGCCTACCTTCCACGCCGCCCAGCAGCCCCTTCAGCCTATGTGGGACCTGCTTTTCCTTTTCCGGGAAGAAAGCTCCAGCCCAGAGCAGCAGCATCCTGGGGGGCGTGGCTCCCAAGGGCCGGCCTCCTCACCCCCCAACCCAGCACCGCCTCCCTCCCCCGCAAGCATGAGCACAGGAGGTGGAGGAGCCTGTTGGCTGAGCAGGGACTTTGACTCCCCAAAAGGCCAGGCGATGTAAACAGGAGGTGGGGCTCAGTGCACTCAGGGTTGGTGAAATTTGAACCCTGGAGGCCCAGGAGGCGGAGAAAAGCTCCTCAAGGCAGGGCCAGGCACCAGGCCTCCCCCGCCCTGCCAGGCAGTGCCAAGCGCGGGTCCTGGGCCAGCTTCTGCAACCACTGCCTCCTCTGAACACCAGCCAGGACGCGGCCTCCGCCTCCCTCTCCTGGGCCCTGCGAGGTCCCACGGTGGAGGCTGTCACCCCGAAGCGGCGTTCCCCTCACAATTCCCTCCCCCACCCCCATAACGGGCAGCTTTCCCTCCCCGGGCCCTGGGTCTGCTCGCTCTGCACACCTTCGGAGGAAGGCCCAGACCTGTGCTGAGACAAGAGGGAGGTGAGAGAACCTGCGCCCATGACAGGGGAGGGGCTGTGTGGGGGCCCTTCTCTCTCAGCTCCTGGTTCCACGTATCACGTATTTAAAGGCGGCGCTCTTTCCTGCCAGGATGTCTGAGCCCCACAAGGAGGAAGTGCACCTGCAGGGAGAGGCCTGGGCCCGCCCGTCACCCGGGTCTGGTCTCAGTCGGTGGTTGAAACAGATGAACCTCCGAGGTCCCAGGAGCCCAGGAGACTCTGTGCCCACGGACACCAGTCGCCTCCGGTGGCCTCTCCCCGTCAACCCGCACACACAGCCCTTCCCTCCTTCCCGGCGGCCCAACCAGAGTGCACATCCGAGGTGAGCGGAGAACAGGGGTGGGAGGGGGGCTCATGAGCACAGACGTGACGCAGCCCCGAGCCCAGGCCAGCAGCGACACAGAAACAAACCGGAAGGCCTGCTGCCACGGCCGCCCGCCCCGGCCCCGACGCCTCGTGTGCAACGGGAAGGGATGGGGAGGGGAGCGGTCCCTGGCGACAGGCGGTTACACCATCGGCGGGGAAGCTCCCAGGTGGTCGTCTTACCGACTGGCCACCGCCCATCACAGCCCCACCAAGAGCCTGACCCAAGTCGCCAAGCCTGATCTCGCAAGCACCCCAAACCCCTAAGGGCGGGGTACTGCCCTCTACACAGAAGGTGGGGTTCCCAGCCTCCCGGCCCCTCGGGGACCGTCCTGACCCAATGTGTGGCAACGATGCCAGACCCCCAGACGCACCTTCCCCGTCAGCTCCCAGGTTCTCGTACGAGTCCCAGCGGATCAGCGGGTCGGCCGTGTTGAAGTCCACGCTCACGCCATGGTTGCTGCGGAAATGCTCACAGCCTGCAGGGGGCGGGGACACGGATCAGTCAGCCGAGCCGGCAGCTCTGGGGCTGGGCACCTGGTCAGCCCTGCCCTCCAGGCCTGGCATCGCCACGCAAGCCCCCACCGACCCGGACACATCACTGCAATGGCTCTGCAAGAAGGAAAGGCGGGTGCGGCCCTCGGCCCACGCGTGCGGCCGGGCCCAGAAGCTCCCGGCTGTCGGGGGCTGAGCCAGGAGGGCGACCAGCTCACACAGCGAGTGCATGCGGGGTTGAGAGGCCACACGCAGGGATCTCAGGGCGGGAATGAGCCATAAGCCGAGGATGAAGGGCTGGTGGCTCTTCCAGTGCATTTTCAGAAGCAGGAGAATCTACTTTAAACACAAGTGTTTGCGACTGCAGAACGTGTCATCTTCTTTAGAAACAGCGGCTGTTCGGTAAGGAGAAGCATAAACATTTGGCGTAACCGCCCCCAGGAGGAGGGACAGAACTTAGGGGACAGGACGTGGCCCGTCCTCGCCGCTAATAGCCTACGATGAAGACCTGTATCAGGAGCCTGCACCGTGTGGCTCAGTGGGTACAGCGTCAGCCAGGGACTGAAGGGTTGCAGGTTCGATTCCGATCAAGGGCACGCACCTGGGTTGCAGGCTGGTTCCCGGGCCGATCAGAGGCAACTGATCGATGTGTGTCTCTCACATCGATGTTTCTCTCTCTGTGTCTCCCCCTCCCTTCACTCTCTCTAAAACTCAATGGAAAAAATATCTGCAGGTCAGGATTTTAAAAAAACCCACAACAAATAAAAAAAGCCGATATCATGAAAATTTCCAAACACGGGCAAAGGTGGGCGACATCCAGAGACCCCATACCAGCCCCCGCAGGCCAGCCCCGCCCTGCACCCACCTTGGATCCTCTCGGGGGAGGCCGAGAACACAAGCTCAATCTTCCCGCTGGCAGGAAAGCGATCGTCTGCAACAGAGAGCGATGTCAGCGGCACGCGGGGGGTGAGGGACAGGGCACGGAGGCCGGTGTCCCCCCACCCGGCCAGGACACGCAGCCCAGAGCCGCCCCAGCGCCCGCACGGACACGTCCGCGGCTCGCTGTTTCTCTAGAACGCCTGCTGTGCTGTCAGCTGTCAGCCCTTCCTGGCACTGGTCACAGTTTGGTCCAATGGGTCGTTAGGGGAGGGGCAGGGAGAAGAGAGAATCCCAGGGGCACCTGTGGCACCTCCACACTGTCCGCCTCCATCCGCGGGGCCTCACCTTGGCAGGCGCTGTCCAGGTCCTGCTTCCCGAACACCAGGCTGCAGCCCTGCACGGCGCCCGTGTGGAACTGCAGGCGGAAGATGACGTCGCGGGTGGCTGAGCGGTACTTCTTGTGGTAGCATTTCACCTGGGGAGAGGAACGCAGGCTGCGGACAGCCCTTCTCCCTTCGCCTGCGACAGCACGGGCACGCACGGGAGGGCTGAGGAGGCTGTGGCTGTGCACGGAGGCCGAGGAGGGCCGGGCTGTGCACGGAGGCCGAGGAGGGCCGGGGCTGTGCACGGAGGCCGAGGAGGGCCGGGGCTGTGCACGGAGGCCGAGGAGGGCCGGGGCTGTGCACGGAGGCCGAGGAGGGCCGGGGCTGTGCACGGAGGCCGAGGAGGGCCGGGCTGTGCACGGAGGCCGAGGAGGGCCGGGGCTGTGCACGGAGGCCGAGGAGGGCCGGGGCTGTGCACGGAGGCCGAGGAGGGCTGGGCACAGGTCATGCTGGGCTGTCCCCAGGGGACCCCGGTGCGCAATGCCCAGGTCTCAGTCCTCGATGGCCACCCCAGCCACGCAGACGCCCCGCAGGCAGTCTCCTGGGGAGACGTGTGCCGCGTGGAATCCATGGGCTCTTTCTCCTCAACATCAACAAATGGTCGTGAGGAAGCGTTTCTGTCGTCTGAACTCTCCGTGTTCCCACAAAAGAAGCAGGCGGTCATTACCGTCTGTGATGTGCAGCATGCGTACGAGTGGGCTGCGGTTAGAGAGAGACGGGGGCACAGGGAGGGAGAGAGAGAGGAAGGCAGGAGACGGGAGGGAGGCAGAGAGACACAGAGGGAGGAAGGCAGGGGACGGGAGGGAGGCAGAGAGACACAGAGAGAGGAAGGCAGGGGACGGGAGGGAGGCAGAGAGACACAGAGGGAGGAAGGCAGGGGACGGGAGGGAGGCAGAGAGACACAGAGAGGAAGGCAGGAGACGGGAGGGAGGCAGAGAGACACAGAGGGAGGAAGGCAGGGGACGGGAGGGAGGCAGAGAGACACAGAGGGAGGAAGGCAGGAGACGGGAGGGAGGCAGAGAGACACAGAGGGAGGAAGGCAGGAGACGGGAGGGAGGCAGAGAGACACAGAGGGAGGAAGGCAGGGGACGGGAGGGAGGCAGAGAGACACAGAGGGAGGAAGGCAGGGGACGGGAGGGAGGCAGAGAGACACAGAGGGAGGAAGGCAGGGGACGGGAGGGAGGCAGAGAGACACAGAGGGAGGAAGGCAGGGGACGGGAGGGAGGCAGAGAGACACAGAGGGAGGAAGGTAGGGGACGGTCTGTGAGGTTCGCACGTCTGAAGGTGAGGAACGGCTGGAACATGCTGTGCGGCCGGCACGCACACCCTCCAGCCTTGCTCTCTACCAGCCACAGGCGACCTGCCGTGCTCAGGGTGGACTCTGAGCCATGACGGGCACGTGGGGGGCGGGTCCCTATGTGAGGGATGCTGACCTGCGGGCCCTGAGCTGCTGATGGCAGGTGCTGGTCTCTCAGCCCCGCCCAGTCCCTGGCCGCACCGAGGCAGCTCTCATCTCCATCCACAGCAGCCAAGCACCTGGCCCGGGGGCGAGGCTCGAGGGCCAGCCTGGAGCACCTGCCGGGCTCAGGGTTGGCCAGTCCTGCTCCCCACGCCCAAGGCCAGCCTCCCGATGCACCCCCGAATCATCGCAGCTCCCGCGTGGGTAACACAGACCGCAAAAACGGGGGGACCCCCAGTGCACCCCTGACCGGGAGAGTCAGCCGTTTCGCCGGCTGTGCGGGTGGCTGTCTAGACAGGCCTCAGGAATGTCTCCCGGGAAAGCGCCCGCCGCAGGGGTCTCGCTGGTCCTCCCGCAGCCCGCGCCCCGAGTCCACGGAGCCAACGACTGGGGCTCCACTGGCCCTTCATTCCCGCAGGCGGGTCAGCAGGTGCTGCTGCCCCTGAACCCCCGGGGCCCCAGCGCTGGGACCACAGGCGGGAGGAGCCCAGCCCCGCAGCCCAGGGGACTCGGACAGTCGGGGGAAGGAGGTACACGCAGGAAGCTGGGAGGTGGGGACAGGAGGCCCCGAAACAGCCGCCTGGAGCCAGTACAGGGAGAGGCAAGCCCTGCCCTGCCCTCCACGCGCAGGACGCAGCGCACAGCGGTCTCTGCTCCTGGAGGCCCTGGGAGCGTCCCGACCGGAGCCTGCAGCCTGCAGCCTGGGGCCCGAGCCGCAGCGGCCACAGCGCAGGATGAGACACGCAGGACGCGACGTGTTTACCGGCGAGCGGGCTCTGGGCGCCGGCCAGGCTCCCACGGGCCGGCCCCACGCCTTCCTCACCCGGTGACATAACGCCCGCGTGTTCACCGCGCCGGCGCCCTGCCCTCCCCTCCCGCGGAGGAGCTGCCCTTCCGCGCCAGGTGTGCCGGCCGGGGCAGGAGGGACAAGCACAGCTCCCCTCGCCCGCGCCTTCCGCCCGCTCCCCGGCCAGCGTGGGCAGGGCCCGGCCGCCTCCCCTGGGGCCCAGAGCCGCCCAAGGGCCTCAGCGGCCAAGCTCTTGAGGGAAAACGAAGGCCGCACATGCACCCGCCCCGGAAAGGCTGGGGCTCCTTCCACTCCGGCCATTTCCGCCACGTGCAGAGGTGCCGGCCCGGCCAACCGCGGGCAGCCAGGCGCACGGAGCACACAAGCGCCGGCGGGTCACGGGGACGCGGAGCGGGGACCGGAGGGGACTGGGACCTGTCTTGCCCCTCAGACCCAGCAACCAAAGGGCCCCGGCTCGGGGACACGCCCACCCCGCTCCCGGGACACGCCCACCCCGCTCCCGGGGCAAGCCCACCTGGCTCCAGGGACACGCCCACCCCGCTCTGGGACACGCCCACCCCACTCCCGGGACACGCCCACCCGGCTCCCGGGACACGCCCACCCCGCTCCCGGGACACGCCCACCCGGCTCCCGGGACACGCCCACCCCGCTCCCGGGACACGCCCACTCGGCTCCCGGGGCACGCCCACCTGGCTCCAGGGACACGCCCACCCCGCTCTGGGACACGCCCACCCCGCTCCCGGGACACGCCCACCCGGCTCCCGGGACACGCCCACCCGGCTCCCGGGACACGCCCACCCCGCTCCCGGGACACGCCCACCCGGCTCCCGGGACACGCCCACCCCGCTCCCGGGACACGCCCACCCCGCTCCCGGGACACGCCCACCCCGCTCCCGGGACACGCCCACCCCGCTCCCGGGACACGCCCACCCCGCTCCCGGGACACGCCCACCCCGCTCCCGGGACACGCCCACCCGGCTCCCGGGGCACGCCCACCTGGCTCCAGGGACACGCCCACCCCGCTCCCGGGAAGGGCCCAGCATCTTCTCTTCCTGCGCTGACTCCTCGGGTCATTTTCGGGAGGGTCCGGCCCTGGGATGTGCACAGCGGCACGGGCGCGACCCCAGGGGCCCCTGGTCCTCGGCTGTGCCAGGAGCCCCGCGCCCACCTAGGAACCTGCAGCTTGTCCCTGCGCCTGGGCAGTCACACCAGGCCCCTGGCCCGCAGACCCCGGCACCGCCCAGCCCTGGAATCTGAGCTCTGGGAGTGGGTCTGCCCGGCCACCCAGGGAACCGGCCTCACTGGGAACCTTCCAGGAGGGTTGCTGGGTGAACACAGGGAGACAGGCGGACCGCGCCCCCGGATTCGGACGCTGGAGCGCTGCCCCGCGTCTGAGGCTGTGCTCAGAGCTGTGTCTCTAGGAGGTGGTGGTGGTGGGGAGGTCACCAGGGCCTGACCCATGTGACGGCCTCACAGGAGAGGCGAGGAGGACAGAGCGGGGTGCGCAGGAGGCAGCCCGCCCATGATTGTCTCCCATCGTTGATGTTTCTCTCTCTCCCTCCCTGTCTGAAATCAATAAAAACACACTTAAAAAACAAACAAAAAACTAAGCCCAGCCACGAGAAACCTCGCCTCCCGTCCGGCTCCTCGGTGGCTGAGAACGTGGGTTCAGGATGGGACCCTCAGTGCTCCCGCTGGGGAGCGGATGCCAGAGCTTTCACTGGGGCGTTGGGGTGGCCAAGCGCTCAGCTCCATGCCTTGCTGCTGCCTCACCCCCTCTCATCCCCTCAGGACCTGAGGGCCCTCTTCCCGCGGCCCCTCCCCCACAGGCCCCTCCCCCATGACCCTTCCCCCACAGGCCCCTCCCTTTCAGTGGCCAGGGAGGCTGGACAGACCTGAGGCCCCAGCCAGAGGGCTGCTCCCCTGGTAAGTGTGTGCAGGGTGTGGGCGTGCCCAGGGTGTCAGTGTGCCCAGGGTGTGGGTGTGCCCAGGGTGTGGGTGCCTGTGGTGTGGGTGCCCAGGGTGTGGGTGCCCAGGGTGTGGGTGTGCTCAGGGTGTGGGTGCCTGTGGTGTGGGTGCCCAGGGTGTCAGTGTGCCCAGGGGTCTGTGTCCTCCTGACCCCACTGGCTTGATACTGTGAGAATTCAGGTGGGACACGATGGAGTTCACAGCCACTAAGAAACAGTCTTAAAACCCATATTTTTAGGGGAAATGCATGCGAATCCTCAAACGATGAATGAATCATTTATAATAAAACAAAAAGCTACCCCTTGGACCGTGTCACCGATCCGGGCCACACAAGCTCCACACAAGCTAATTTCTGTGCCCACCTCCCAGAATCACTTCACACGTATGACGTTTTCTATGGTCAAGATGCATGAAAGGCAATGATGGTTCCACCTGAGAACCGGCCCAGGAATCAGAGCCTGCTCGAGGAATCGGCGTCTGAGCATTAGCCGCCCGCGATGACCCCGCTGAATCTCACACTCGGCTGCCAAAGGCAGGTCCACGACTTATATCCTCCCCTGAAGGCCTCTGACCAACAAAGGCTGCACCTCATGGTTGGGAACGTGGCCGCGGGGAGGACAGTGGCTGACACGCACTGAGAGGCTATGAATGTGGCCGCGGGGAGGGCAGTGGCTGACACGCACTGAGTGGCCGTGAACGTGGCCGCGGGGAGGGCAGTGGCTGACACATACTGAGCGGCTGGGATAGACTCTGTCCCTCTTGGTACAGCGGCTTCCCTCAGATTAATCAGCTGCCTTGAGGTAACGGCTACTCCCCCCTTCTCACAGGTTTCTGGGGCCCAGGTTCCCTGTCCCTGTTCTAGGGTGATGTTTCCCCCAAGGGGTGGCCGGGGCGCCGGGGGCCAGCACTCACCATGATGTCCCCTTTCAGGAGCTGGGCCGGCTCTATGGCGATGTAGATGCGACTCGGGTTTTCGGGGCCAACGTTGCTTTGGAAAAACAAGGAGGCGATGGTCACGTCATCTCGGGGCCTCCCGGGAGGAGGCATTTGGAGAAAAGCACCCGACAACTGGAAGCTCAGAGTCACACAGAACTTCTGAGGGCCCGGCCGGCTCCTGGGATCCTCGGGGACAGGGTACAGGAGCGGAAGCTGCCGGCCAGGCAGGAGCCGAGGCCTCGGCAGGGACCGCAGGCCACCCCGAGCGCACGGGCACGCGCAGGACACGGGGCCCACGCCTCGCCTCGGAATCAGCGGAGGGCGCTGTGCCCCGGCCCGGGCCCAGTGAGCCAGAAGCGAGAGCAGCTGGTTTTCAGTGGCGACATGGGGGTGAGGGCACTTTTCGCCTCCACTCACTCTCTGAATGTTCACAAGGTGCCTAGGCCAACACCAAACAGCCCAGAATGGGTGCAAATTCTGAGCTTGGTCTGGCCGGCGTGGCTCAGGGGCTGAGCATCAACCTACGAACCAGGAGGTCACGGTTCAATTCCCGGTCAGGGCACAGGCCCGGTTGTGCGCTCGATCCCCAGTGCGGGGTGTGCAGGAGGCAGCCGATCCCTGATCTCTCATCATTGGTGTCTCTCTCTCTCCCTCCCTCTCTCTGAAATCAATAAAAATATATTAAAAAGAAAAAACAAGTTCGGAGTACAGTGGGGCCTTGACTTACGAGTTTAATTCGTTCCATGACGGAGCTCGTAACTCAAATTACTCGTATGTCAAATCAACAGTGAGTAAGTGAGACACGTGATGCTGGGCTGATGTTGTGGCGTTCACTGTGACGTTTGCTGCGCCAGCTAGCGGTGGGGTATCTGAAGCTGGCTCGTGACCCGAATTTTAGCTCGCAACTCAAAGCAAAAAATCAGCCGAGAGACGGCTCGTATCTCGAAAAACTCATTAGTCGGGACACTTGTAAGTCAAGGCCCCACTGTATGTGCATCTATCCTGTCTAAAATGCAAGTGCAGCCCTAATCGGTTTGGCTCAGTGGATAGAGCGTCGGCCTGCGGACTGAAGGGTCCCAGGTTCGATTCCGGTCCAGGGCATGGGCCTGGGTTGCAGGCACATCCCCAGTAGGAGGTGTGCAGGAGGCAGCTGATCGATGTTTCTCTCTCATCGATGTTTCTAACTCTGTCCCTCTCCCTTCTTCTCTGTAAAAAATCAATAAAATATATTTTAAAAAAATAAAATGCAAAGGGCAGAGAAAGGCCAACAGTAAAGGCCGTCACAGGGCAGGACGTGCTTCCTTCCCCACAGCACGTGGGCCCCGCCCTCTGTCCACGCCCCACGGTGAGCCTGACAGCCACCCAAGCGGTGGCGTGTTGCGGTGTGACGTATGGCATGTGGCATGTGGCGTGTGGCGGTGTGGAGGTGTGACGTGTGGCGTGTGGCGGTGTGGTGTATGGCGGTGTGGAGGTGTGGAGGTGTGACGTGTGGCATGTGGCGATGTGGCGTGTGGCGGTGTGACGGTGTGGCGTGTGGCGGTGTGGTGTATGGCGGTGTGGAGGTGTGGAGGTGTGACGTGTGGCATGTGGCGATGTGGCGTGTGGCGGTGTGACGGTGTGGCGTGTGGCGGTGTGGTGTATGGCGGTGTGGAGGTGTGGAGGTGTGACGTGTGGCATGTGGCGTGGCGTGTGGCGGTGTGACGGTGTGGCGTGTGGCGGTGTGGTGTATGGCGGTGTGGAGGTGTGGAGGTGTGGCATGTGGTGATGTGGCGTGTGGCGGTGTGACGGTGTGGCGTGTGGCGGTGTGGTGTATGGCGGTGTGGAGGTGTGGAGGTGTGACGTGTTGCATGTGGCGATGTGGCGTGTGGCAGTGTGACGGTGTGGAGGTGTGACGTGTGGCGTGTGGAGGTGTGGCGTGTGGCGGTGTGACGGTGTGGAGGTGTGACGTGTGGCATGTGGCGTGTGGCGGTGTGGCGGTGTGGCGGTGTGGCGTGTGGCATGTGGCGTGTGGCGGTGTGACGGTGTGGCGGTGTGGCATGTGGCGTGTGGCGTGTGGCGGTGGTGACGCTGGGCTGGGACGCAGCACCAGCCACCGAGGAGCACTGACCACGGGCATCCTCTGCCCCACGCCCTCCTGTTGCAGAGCTGGCCCGACTGCCCGATGCCACTCCTGGCACAAGCCCACGAGGCCGACGCACTTACTAGATCCCCGAGGTGTAGACGGGCTGCATGGCCTGGTACAGCTTCAGGAAGGGCCGGCACACTGCAGGAGGGAGAGAGGGAGAGAGAGGGAGGGAGAGAGAGAGGGAGAGTGAGGAAGACAGAGAGAGAGAGAGAGAGAGAGAGATCTTCCGTGAGCCCGAGGAACCATGCAGGACGCGGGGAGGGTGACAGAGGGAAAGGTGCATGAGCCGGCGCCCACTAGCTGCCTTCGGCTTGGACTCAGCGCCGCAGTCGGACGGCAGCGTGAGGGGCCCGGGGTCGCCTGGGCTGTCTGTCCTTCCTGATAAGCGAGTGGCCCCACCTCGCAGAGGGGGCTCTGTCCAGTCCTGGCCAGGGGGCCTGGGCCTCAGGATGGAGGGGTGCCCGTGCAGTGCAGGGACAGGGGACCTCAAGCCCGCAGTGGGGACACTCACCCCCGCCCGTGTCGAAGTTGGGGGTGCCGTGCAGGATGACGAAATGCAGGAAGAGGGGCGAGGCGTTCATCTTCACTGTCCCCGACAGCAGCCCGCTGAGAAACTGGACGTACCTGCAAGGCACCGGCAGTGAGCGCCCAGGTGGCACCTCATGGCCCGCCCCGCGTGGAACTCAGACGACGGCCATGCAGCCCGTGCGTCTCCGGTGGTGCCTGCACGTCCCACATGTGCCCGTGACCGTCAGGGGGACGGTTCTACAGGGACGAGTCTGCCCGGCCAGCGTGGCCCAGTGGTTGAGCATCGACCTATGAACCAGGAAGTCACGGTTCTCTTCCCGGTCAGGGCACACAGGGGAGGCAGCCGATCCATGATCCTCTCTCATCATTGATGTTCCTGCCTCTTTCCCGCTCCCTTCCCCTCTCTCTCTAAAGTCAATAAAAATATATTTAAAAATAATAATAAAATAAAAATAATTAATGGGATGTTTCCTCGCTGGGCCCTGGGGCTCGGGGTGTGGGAGGGGCCGGAGCGGGGACCCAGCCTGCCATGCCCGATGCTGCCCGACCATGGCCCCTCCCTCCTCCCAGGGGGGCCTGACTCCAAGCACCAGGAAACCCCCCAATATCCGACCATGGCATGGGTGTCCCCCGCCCAGGACGGCCGCCCTCCGACCGAACCACCAACAGGCTCAGCCTCACATATTTTTTAAAAAATCTCTAAGTTACGCCTGCAATTCACGCATTGTGCTCCATTAGTTCAAAATAGGCCGCTGGGTTTGTGCATGAAGCAAGCTGAACCGGTTAAACACAAAGTTAGGCGACCCAGCTGCCAGTCCTGCTTTGAGGAAGGTGCCGAGTTCCTCTCCTGGTGCTCCCACCGTCCTGGTGGCGAACAGCTCCTCTGTCCTGCAGCATAAACAGGGGCTCCCCAGGGTCACCCGGGGGGAGCCCTGGGATCAGAGGGCTGGCTGCCACCAAGCCTGGCCACCAGGGGGCTCCACACGCCTCCCCTTTCATCCAGGGGCTGCCTGTCAGAGCCACCAGGTCAGCAGGAGGGCGGCCCTGCCTCCAGCACCAGCGAGCCCTCCCTCCCGCTCCTGGCTGCCCGGGGCCCTCTGTCTGCCGGTGCACCCATGGGCCCTCATGGCCGCCCCCTCCGGCGGGACACGTACCGCTTCTGGGAGGGCTGCATCAGAGCGGAGACCTTGTCGTCGTAATACTTCTTCATGGCAAACCTGTCGAGGGCCTGGTCGGCGCTGGGGAGGAGAGACGGCGTGTCACCCGGCGCGGACACGACCGAGGCCGGTAACAGGCACGTCCTGGGCTGCGCTGGGCCCGGCGCCAACCAGGTCCCCATTCTTTGGGGCACCATGAGAGCCACCTTCGCCTCTCCTCCCGGACCCGGGTCCCCACAGACACGCCGAGGACACAGAGGACCCAGGCGCAGGCCCCTACCCCGTAGGAAGCAGCAGCCCCGCCCAGGGCTGTGGCCCCAGCTGACACCGCACGGCCCCTGGCCACACGCCTCCGACAGGGGAGCGGGCCAGACTGGCGGGCGGACCACGTGTCAGCGTCACAGGGGAGCGGACGCGCCCGAGGCCACCCTCCGTGGGCACCCCCCCGTGCCCCAAAGGTGTGTTGGGGACCCACAGGGGCGGCCGAGTGCTTCCACGGGGAGTCACGGCCCGAACAGGCTCAGAGGTCAGAACCCGCGGCACCGGGAGGAGACGAGGCCCTCGGGCGCACGGCTGTTTGTGCCGTGACTCACTCCACGCCGGCTCCTCCGGGAACCCCTCCCGGGCACAGGGGCTGTCTCACCCCCCGCTGCCCCCGATTTCAGCACAGCCCCTGGGATGTGAGGTCAGACGGCGTCACCAGGCTCAGGGCCGCCCAGAGCTCCCTGGAAAGTCGGGTCTGAGTGGGGCCTCTGCTTAGAGAAACATGGGTGCTCGTGGCTCCAGAATCGCGTCAGAAATGGGCCAGGGCAGGGGCCAGGCTGGAGGCACCGAGCAGCAGGAGGACGGTGGCCGCCCCCGTGGGCCCACACGGGCCGCTGGGCTGGGTCCCGGGCGCGGTGGTGGCGGGGGCACCGGCTCTCACGTGCTGTGAACACGGTTTCGTAGAAAAGACACCCGTCCCTTGTCTGGCAGCCCCTTGTGTTAGTGAACGCGCTGGTGCTCATGCCCGGCGGCGTGGCTCCCGGGGCGTGGCTCCCGGGGCGGGGCGAGTGGTGAGCAGGGCCCTGCCGCCCACGCGTGTCTCCAGGAGCCGGTGCGGATGCTCTTCCCGCTCTGCGCCCGAAACTTTCCGCTTGGATCTCGGAGCGGAGTCTGGCCCGAGGAGCCCGCTCCCTGGACGACCGGGGAGGGACCTTGAGGCCCAGTCGTGACAGGCCCAGCTGTGACTGCTGCCGCGGCCACGTCGGCGGAGGGTCCGCAGCAGCCGCCGCTGCCCTAGGGCAGGGTGGGCGGTGGGAACCACTTCCTGCCGAGGGCCCTGTGGGTGCGTATGACATCACCCGGCCACACAGAGTCACCCCCTTAGGTCAGCGGCCGCACTCGGTCAACATGCAGCTAACCCAGCATCTTGGCAGGGCCAGACCACATGCCTGGGGGGCCAGATACAGCCCACAGCCGCACGTCCCACCCGTCCTAGAACCGGGGGCCCTGGACAGGCAGCCCCGGCCAAGGCTGAAACTGTGACCTTCTCCGCGTGGGACGGAGCGAGCTGCGCACCTCCCCCCCCCCCCCAAGGGCGTCGGGAGACAAGGAGGAGAGAGCGAGCCGGTCGCCAAAGCTCTGAGCGGTCCCTCCGCCCCCGACAGGCGCCCAGTCCTGCCGCTCGGCTGCCCCGCCCTGTGGCTGTACTGGGTGCCCCACGGGCACCAGCACCAGGACCCGCCACCAGCCCCGGGAGACAGCCAGCACCCCCGTCACGGGCGGCGTGTCCACCGCATGGCCGTGCAGCTGACCCCGAGCGCGACGGCTTGGAAAGGGCTCTCAGCCGCCTGTGGGTGACGAGTGAGGAAGCTCTCGGTCTCCTCATTTCCAGCCCCACACCCCCCCTCCCCCCAGCAGTCGGGTGGGGACAGAGCCACGTTGTTGGGGCAGGAACACGGGGGCTCTGTCAGGGGCCGCCGGGAACCTGGTCCCCATCCAAGTGCCTCCGGCCTCGAGCACACAGGGCTCATTATCGAGGCCTCCTCCCCGCGGGGTTTCCTCCTGGCGCCCCGCTCCCCGTGTTTCCAGGGAAAACAGTGGAAGCCGGTCCGTCTCCTGCAGGGGAGGAGGGGGCCGGCCTCCCCTGAACGGCTTCTGTTTCCTCGGACGCAGCCGCACAAAGCGGCCATTGAGACGCCAGGACCGCGCAGGCGGCCGCGGGGACACGCTTCTCACGGGACTTGGGGCGCACGGCTCCGGGGTCCTGGGCGCCCTGCACGCTGGCCGGCAGGAGGCTGGCCCGTGCCCCCTCACTCGCTGTGCTCCCGTTTCCATCCCGGGGGCGGTGGCTCTTCCAGGCCCGAGAGCCGCCGCCCAGGCTCCTGGGCCAGCGCCCGACCCCCAGCCCCTCGTCTGCAGGTGGGAGCCCTGACCCCGCCTCTGGGGACTCAAGGGGCCGATGAGAGCACACCCGGCGCCCAGCGCGCGGCCACCTCTCTCGGTGGCGGTTTCCTGCCCCCTGCAGCCTGGGTGGCAGTGAGCTCACAGTGTCTCCAGGCTCCAGGAGGCCGTCGGCATGTCACACGTGTGCACATGCCTGTCCTGAGAGCACGGCCTCTGCCCGGGGACGCAGAGGGACAGGCCAGCCCCGCCTCCCGCCCGCCCGGCCCCGCCACGCCTCCTACCTGGCGGAGACGTTGGTGAAGTGCATGTAGGAGGCGATGACCACGCCGATGCGCCCCTTCCCGCCCTGCGGAGACAGAGGCCAGTGTTCCCGCGCCCTCGCCCCGTGCCGGCAGGACCAGGCTTCCCCGTGGCGATGATGAGGCGCCAGCATGAGGGGCCGCGGCCCCCGGGCAGCAGGGGCACGCACCCTGGGGGCCCAGGGCAGAGGCGGGTGCCCCCTCCCACCGCGCCTTGGCCACCCCGCGAGGACGCACACGTCAGGTCCCCGTTGGGCGGGTGTCCTGCCCACAAGGTCCATCAGTGACCAGAACTCGGGGGGGGGGGGGTAGTCCGAGCAGCGTGCTCTGGAGCGCCCTTCTCTTCTTTAGAAGGGGCGCTCCTGGGAGGAGGGGCGCCTGCTCGCCGTGCCCTGTTAGTCCCTAAGGCCCACGGCCACCCAGGGACCTGGTCCCACAGACCTGCAGCCGCCCGGGGCCCGGAGGGACTGTGAGGGGAGAGGGCACCTCCACCCGGGCCCAGGAGGGACTGTGAGGGGAGAGGGCACCCCCACCCGGGCCCAGGAGGGACTGTGAGGGGAGAGGGCACCCCCACCCGGGCCCAGGAGGGACTGTGAGGGGAGAGGGCACCCCCACCCGGGCCCAGGGGGGACTGTGAGGGGAGAGGGCGCCCCCCCCCGGGCCCAGGAGGGACTGTGAGGGGAGAGGGCACCCCCACCCGGGCCAGGAGGACTGTGAGGGGAGAGGGCACCCCCACCCGGGCCCAGGAGGGACTGTGAGGGGAGAGGGCACCCCCACCCGGGCCCAGGAGGGACTGTGAGGGGAGAGGGCACCCCCACCCGGGCCCAGGAGGGACTGTGAGGGGAGAGGGCACCCCCACCCGGGCCCAGGGGGGACTGTGAGGGGAGAGGGCACCCCCACCCGGGCCCAGGGGGGACTGTGAGGGGAGAGGGCACCCCCACCCGGGCCCAGGGGGGACTGTGAGGGGAGAGGGCACCCCCACCCGGGCCCAGGGGGGACTGTGAGGGGAGAGGGCACCCCCACCCGGGCCCAGGAGGGACTGTGAGGGGAGAGGGCACCCCCACCCGGGCCCAGGAAGGGTTCTGTGAGGGGAAGGGCGAGGAGGGAGGACTCACCCTGCAATGGATGACGACCACGTGGTGCGGGTGGCCCTGGAGCCAGGACTCCTGGGCCTTGCAGATGGCGCACACCTTGTCCAGGGGCGGGGCGTGCAGCTCGGGCCAGCCCACGTCCAGCACCTGCAAGGACAGCGGCTCAGAGGCGGCTCGGGGCGGGTGCCCGTGGTGGAGACACAAAGGCCTCGCCCAGCCGGCGGGGCTCGGTCAGGGCTGAGTGTCGACCTACGACCCAGGAGGTCAGGGTTCGCTTCCCGGTCAGGGCACAGGGCACAGGCGGTTGGGGTTGGATCCCCAGTGGGGGCGTGCGGGAGGCAGCCGGTCCATGGCTCTCTCATCACTTAAGCTTCTCTCTCCCGCTTCCTTCCTCTCGGAAATAAATGGAAATAAAATGAAATGAAGCGACGCCTGGGAGAGACGGGAACTCCTGGGATCCACACTCGTTCCGGGCAGAAACAGTTCAACGTGAAGACGTCGCCGCGGACACGTGTGCCCGGTCCCGCCATCGAGTCAGGCCGGGAGCCGACGGGCACCCGCGGGACGGGCACCCTGAGACGCGGCAGACGCGGAGGCGGGGCGGGGCGGGGCGGGGGCGGGGCGGGCGCACCTTCCGGTTGAGCCTGGCCAGGTCGTATCTCTTTTCCGAGAGGTTCAGCACCTGCGGGGGGGAGACGAGGTGTCGGACGCGCTGCCCACGCACAGGGTGCGGGTGGAGGCATCACAGAGGGTGACGTGTACAGGCGTGTCGTCGTCACAGAATAAAACAAACACGCCAGGCTGGGCACGCGATCCGGGCTCCCGGGGAAGGAGCCACACGGAGGGGCCGTCCTGCCCGGGCTGGAGGCCAGGCCCGCGAGTGCCAGGGCGTCACCGAGGACCCGCCCCGTCACGGAGAAGCGGGCGGGGACCAGCCTCGCCACCCTCACCCCACCCCCTCCTCCCCCTCCCCCTCCCCCTTCCCTCTCAGGAGGACAGCCGAGCAGCACGGGCCGAGTGTGGAGGGGCTGACACTGGCAGGGGGCTGCCCAGGGCCAGGCGGGCCGTGGGGGTACCTCTACCGGAACGGGCTGCCCCTCGGGCCCTGGACGTCACCCACCGGCCGGCCGAGGCGTGGTCTGTGGGTCCTGAGGCTGTGTGTCCCCTGTCCAATCAGAGGACAGCACCCAGGTGTCCCCGGGAGAGCGAGGGCACCGGGTGTCGCTCAGGGTTGTATGTGACACCCACGTCACCTCAGAGTTTCAAAAAGGTCCTTGTCCCCAAAGGCAGGGCCCCCACCCACCCCAGCCACTCTGCCGGGGGGGGGGGGTGTCTCTGGACCCAGCGAGGCTGCACCCATCGTGAAGGTGACCCCTCCAGACCCCAGACCTCCCGTGGAGGGGACTCAGAGCCTGGCCTGGGGAGAGGAGGGAGCGAGACAGGGAGGGCGGGTGACAGCCCAGGCGGCCACAGCTCTCCCTGCCATGGCCGGGGGACCAGGAGAGCGTGACCAGGAGAGCAGCGGGTTGGGGCAAGGGGGCAGGGCCTCCCCCTGCAGCACTAACTGCTGAGCGGGCCTCCCCGCTGCTGGGCTCAGTCCTCTGAGGAGGCTGATAAGGACACGAGACAGTCACGCTCATCCTGGTCGTCAGGGGAGATCACGGCTGCGATTAGAGAGCCTGGGGGCCAGGAGGGGGTTTCACTCAGCAGAGGCCACACGGGACGGGAGCAGCAGGCCACGCTGCACGGGGCGTGTGAACACGGAGGGCGGGCCGCACGGGGCGTGTGAACACGGAGGGCGGGCCGCACGGGGCGTGTGAACACGGAGGGCGGGCCGCACGGGGCGTGTGAACACGGAGGGCGGGCCGCACGGGGCGTGTGAACACGGAGGGCGGGCCGCACGGGGCGTGTGAACACGGAGGGCGGGCCGCACGGGGCGTGTGAACACGGAGGGCGGGCCGCACGGGGCGTGTGAACACGGAGGGCGGGCCGCACGGGGCGTGGGACACGGACGGCGGGCCTCACGGGGCGTGTGAACACGGAGGGCGGGCCGCACGGGGCGTGGGACACGGAGGGCGGGCCCAGAACATGGCGGAAACGAGCCTCCCCGCCCGGCAGTCCTGTGCACTCCTCACCCTCACGGTGCGTTTCAGGGGGACGGAACCTCTTCTGGGCAGGCCTGCCCACGCTCGGGGAGCCCCACCCATTCCGGTGTCCACCCTCCGGGGACAAACGTCGCCGCCCGGCACTCCTCCTGGTAACCAGCTTCTGGTCACCATGACCTGCGGCCGACGGCCCCTCATCACAGCGTCCCCCGTCCCCCCAGCTCAGCGTCCCCCCTCCCCCCAGCTCAGCGCCCCGCCCCCCGCTCACCAGGTAGTTGTCGCCGTGCTTGGACCGCAGCATGCGCGTCACCTCCTGCAGGCTGTGCAGGTAGGACTCCTCGGAGCAGCCCGCAGGGAAGGACACCGCGATGATGCGCTCGGTGACGTAGGTGAGGTCCAGCTCGCGCCCGTCCTCCATGGTGGGGCTCGGCGCCGGCCTAGGGGAGAGGCTGGCGGGCACCGGCCAAGCAGCAGGAGTGAGGGTGTGAGGACGCGGCCACGGGCTCAGCGGACCCGACGGCGGGGGCTCGCGGACCTGCCGAGTCTGCTTTCTGGTGTGGGCTGGTCACAGACACGCAGGCGGCTCTCCGTGCTCAGGGCCTGGGGACACCGCCGGGGGCCTCGCGGGAGGCGGGTCGGAGGGAGCCTGGCCCTGCGCGACCCTCACCGTCCCCGCTCCCCGCTGTCAGCTCAGCACCTGGCAGCTGAGACGAGTGAATGGCAGGGGTGGGTGCAGCCTGGTCTGCAGGTGGCACCCTGGGGAGGAGGAGGAACCTCAGTGCATATGGAGGGGCTGGAAGGACTTTGGCCCTGGGAGGAGGGGCTGGGGCTGTCACCTGAGATGAGGACACAGGTGTGAGAGGATGGGGGCCACGGAGCCGGGCAGGCGTGGCAGCCAGCAGAGGGCGCAGGGGAGGGCGAGGGCGAGCACTGGCTGTGCCGGGCGCGTGGGACCAGACCTCCCATCCCTGTGCTGGGGGGACCGCGCTGGGCACCCCAGGTCTGCAGGGCGTGTGGGATGGAGGGAGAACGTCCAGGGGAGAGGTGCGAGGTCACCCCACACGGTGGCAGCCACAGTGAAGCCACAGAGGATGGGGCGTCGGGGGGCAGGTGAGTCAAGCTTGGCCAAGGCTGCGGCCACCAGCTGTGGGGTTTGTGGCGACTGTCAGTCTATTTACTACCCTCATTACCTGAGTTTCTCTCTTCATTTTGGAAAAATTCAAAAACATTCAAAATGGTGTCACAGCCCTGCAACACCCATCCTCTGGCTCCGAAATTAATTCAGCCCGCCCCCCACCCTGCTCCCGCCTGCGCCCAGGGCTCTGCAGGGATCCCAGGTCATGTGTCGTTTGGTGGGCAAATGCGTTCGTCTGTTTCTGGAGGAGAAGGACCTGCGGCGCCATTTCCACCCGACAGCAGCCGCGGCCCCATCACCGGCACCGTCGCCCTGGTGTCTGACTCTGACTCATTACCAAGAGGTGCCCCCGCCTCACGCACCCGGCGCAGGCTCAGGGCCTGCTGCTTTCAGATGCCGAGGCCCACGTCTGTGAGCACGTGGGGTACGGAAAGGACGTGCCCCTCGCCGTGGCCTCGAGGGCCTCCACGCGTGGAGCGCGGGCTGTGGCCGCCCCTCCAGGCCCTGCTCTGATGGAGGCGCGTGGAGCTCGCCGCACTCGCCAGGTTCCAGTCCGGGGCCCAAACCACGCTCACTACACGAGTCTGATTATCCAGCGAAAGGCAGTCACGAGCCGGGATCTGGGCGCGAAAGCCGGGAGGCCGCGTCCAGACACGGACGTAAATGGGACCCGTGTCCCCATGAACATCTGCTTTAAAAATCAGAGACCAAGGTGACGGCAGCGCAGACGAGCCCAGACCTCCCGTGGGGTCTGGCCGAGGACAGGGACGCGGGGGGGCTGGCGGACACTCACCTGGACGGTCGGTGGCAGCGGGGAGAAGCGGACAGCGAGGCGGGCCCCGGAGCCTGCGGAGGAGAGAGCACGGTCACCCCAGGCCTCCGGGCCTGCGTCCGCGTCGCACGCCCCAAGGAGGGCGCTGGCGGCCACGCCTCGGTTTATCAGGAACGGACGGTCCCGCCGGGAGCTGCTGGCTCAGCTCCTCGCCCGGGAGGATGTCCGGCCTATCAGCCATCTGGGCCCCAGGACAAGTGTCACAATCCATGAGCCACGGCGGGCGGCTCCCCGGAGGGACAGGGAGGGGCCCCTGGCAGGGCAGGGCCCCGGCACGTGTGACAGCTCGTCCCCGCCGACAGGAGGCGCTCTCGGCGCAGCGGTGACCGCCTTCTCCGGTCAGCGAGCACGGGAAGCACCCGGAGAGAACCTGCACCCACTTCTCTTTCCGAGCCTGTCCGACGGGAAGGAAGGCTTCGGGGTTGCGACTGCCCGTGCCCCTGAGTGTGTGCGTGCACGCGTGTGTCATGCACCAAGACGGCAGAGACGGGAGATGCCCCCACAGTCCTCCCCAAAGCCCTCCTCGGCCTGGGCCCCTTTCTCTCCTGCCTCCGGGGAGCCCGCACCCTCGGCTCCGCACCCCCGGGACCCTGCTCTGTGGACGGGCCCAGCGGGTGCACAGCTACTGGGTGACGCGGGTCCTGCGAGCAGGGCGCCCAGAGCCCGCCTCTGTGGACGGAGCCCCCGCTCAGACAGGCCGACACCCCCTCCCCTGAGGTCCCCCCGGGCACTTGCTCACTTGGCTCCCACAGGAGGGAAGGGGATGAAACCGGGGCTATTTCAGGGTCCACCAGACACACTTTCCTGAAATCTCGACAAGGCAACTCCTAAGCCAGCGCCAACCACAGAGGCGTGATCCTGGCCCCCGAACGGAGGCAGGACCGGACGGCGCCCTCCCACCGGCCCCCAAACCCCGCTCGTCCACACGGGCCGGGGCCTTCCCTGGCTGACGTGTTCCCTCCAGTCGTCTGGCCCGCGAGGAGGGGTCTGGGCGCTGGCCGAGGTGACCACACAGGACGTGTTCGCCACGGGCCAGTCGGACCGGGGCCCGGGGGTTCTGATAACAGAGCCCCTCCCTGTGCCCACAGGGTCACGCCCAGGCTGTGTCGTCGCCCGGGGCCGCACCCCGACCCGGCCACTGGCCCCAGGCCCTGCCCTCACGCCTGCACGGCTCAGGCTAGACCAGCTCCGACAGGGAGAGGATTTGCCCAGCAGGACAGCGAGGATCACGGTGAGCGCACAGCACACGGTGCAGAGGCTTTAGGTCTCGAGAGACGTGACCCGAGTCGCCAGCTCAGGGCGGCCCGTCAGCGAGACGGAGCCCAGAGGCCTGGGCGTGCGACTCGGCAGCTCGGGATGTGCCCCGAGGACGTGCCGGGACCGGCCGCGTCTGCACGGACCAGCTCCCCACACGGACACGCTCCCCACACAGACACGCTCCCCACACGGACGGGCCCCCCACACGGACGGGCTCCCCGCACGGACGGGCTCCCCGCACGGACACGCTCCCCACAGGGACGGGCTCCCCGCACGGACGGGCTCCCCACACGGATGGGCTCCCCGCACGGACATGCTCCCCACAGGGACGGGCTCCCCGCACGGACACGCTCCCCGCACGGCGAGAGCCGGTAGCAGCAAGCACAGCAGCCCCGTCAGCCACACACAGGGTCCCTCGGGGTCAGCCGGGGCGGGCGTGCGGGCAGGTGACGCTCAGCCACAGCGCCGCTCCCCACGGCACCGGGAAGGGTCCGTGACTCACACGCACGCCCGGTGACATCTGGACAGACGGCAATGGCCTCAGTGTGTTTCCGGAATGCTCTGTCGCATGTTTCTTGTACGTGCAGGTTTGCAGCGTGGACCTGAGCCCATGTGACCCTTCCTCAGCAGGGGACAGTGACCCTCGAGGCCTGAGCCACGCAAAGCACTCCGTCCACAGAGGCAGAGCCAGAGGGCTTCCCGGGCGCTACCCTCGGGGCCGGCAGGGCGGGCGGGCCGGAGGCCTTGTCTTGGTCCTGGTTCCCCCTGAGACGGTCCGGTCCAAACCCAGACTCGGGCACTCTGCACCCCGGACCCCCGTCTGCAGAGCAGGGCCCCCAGGAGCCAACGCCTCCTCCGCCCACGGGACCTGCCCTCACGTGGCCTCTGGGAACCGAGAGACGGAGAGGAGCTGAGCAGAGGAGGAAGTGCCGCATGAGGGTCACCCAGAGGGCAGTGGCCCACGTCAGGGGCAGGCGGGTGCTTCCTGAAGACACACGTGTGCACATATATGCACACGCACAAGCACACAGTCAAGCACGCACCCATGCGCACCCTCACACACACACATGCTCATGCACAGCGGGCCTGCCACAGGTGTGCGTCCTGCAGGCAGAAGGGAGCCTGGAGAGCACAGTCACAGGCAGCACCTGTGCCAGGGTCGATGCTACGGCAACGCTCCCTCGTCCCCTGCGATGGGTGAGGGCAGCGCCTGGCCTGGCATGAGTCCCCGGTGAGCCAGCCCCTGCCCCACAGCCACCCTCATTCTCCGTCCCTGCCCCACAGCCACCCTCACTCTCCGTCCCTGCCCCTCAGTCCCTCCCACGGGCCACTCCCTCCTGCCCCAGGGCCTTTGCACGTGCCATGCGGGGCTGGAATGCTCCCACCTCCTGGGCAAGCCTCACCTGGTTGACCAACTCCCGACCCTCAGCCTCTCAGCTCAGACAGCTTCTTCCCAGCAAAGGGACCCCGATCCCCCTTCACGTCCCGCTGCCATGGTCTCCTTCACACACAGGCCTCAACACAGAACGACCCTGGTGTGGATCCCTGTCCACACTCTGCGCCCCCAGGAAGCCGCCCACCTGCCCGTCCCGCCAGCAGCCGGGCAGCGGAGCAGCGGCCCACAGACCAGGTCCGCAGGAGGAGGGAGGGTCTGGTCATGTGAGAGGCGCAGGGTGCCGTCCGTACGTTTCAGGTAAACCCTCGTTCGCCTTCCTTTTAGGGACAGAAAGTCCCGAGTGGCTGACCAGACGGCATCTCACAGCAGAGTGGGAGGCGCGGCCGTAGCGGACGGACCTACGGGCGGGGGCGGGGCTTGTTTAGGAAGAACTGCCCTGGCACAGCCCCTGCTGAGCACCAGTGACAGAGAGATCGGGGGGGGGGGGGCACCCCCCTCGCCAGCCTGGCTCCCCGCGGTGACCCCTGACTGGGGGCTCAGCAGCTGTGCCAACTGGGGTCCCGGTTCCCCACGTTCCCACTAATGCTGTCTCCTGGCACCCTGCCTCCCAAGACGGGCACCCGGCCGACCGCTGCCAGGAGCCGCCTCACCTGGCTGACGAAGTCCTGACCCTCAGCCTCTCCCGCCGGCCCCTCCTGCTCACCTGGGGAAGGGCAGCCTGCGGCCGCCGGGCCGGAGAAGCTCCAGGCCGGCCCCTGCCGCCCGCCTGCCCGCGCCCTCTCTGGCTTCTGGACGAGAAGCAACAGAAGATCCCTGGCCGGTACCGCCCCGGGGTCCGGGGAAAGGCCCGGGGACGCGGCGAGAACGCCCGCATTCCGGAGCCGCGAGCTACGAGCCCCTCTCAGGAGCGCGCTGGCCCTGACGCCCTGCGAACTGCTCCGTGGGAAGGAGCAGAGGGGACGTTGCGTAACATGACCGGAGCCGGGCCGACGAGGAAGCAGGCTGCCCTGGCCTGGCCGCGGGGTCCGCACGATCAGCGGAAACCTCCGCCCCTGGTCAGTGTCCCCGGGGGACGGACGTGAGCCCTTTCTCAAAGGCCACGATCGGCGGCACACCTGGAGGCGCCATTCCGTCCTTCCTTCCGCGGACGGGCGTCCCCAGCAAGCACACGCCTGCCCTCCCAGCACCGGGAACGAGGCCACCCCACCCTCTCCAAGCCGTCGCCTGGGGGTGCACCTGGCCTCCCTGGACTCAGCTTCCTCGCCTGGGGCTGGGCTGAGCCAGGGTCAAACGAGGAAGCCCGTGTGCGGCCGAGAGCGGCAGGGCCGTCCTGAGCGCGAAGCAAACACCAGCCATGAAGCGAAGCCTTGTTCTCGGTGCCGGCGGGACGGGCCTGCACTCGCCGCCCCGCGTCCCCCGTCCTTTCCCAGGAGAGCGCGGGCCCCTTTCCCCAGAAGACGCTGCCTGGAGCGCAGGAGGCGGCCGGTCAACGATTCTCTCCCATCCCTGAGGTTTCCATCTCTCTCTTCCTCTCCCAAACCAACAAAAACGTATTAATAATAATTAAAGAAAGAGACGTTGCCCAGGCAAACGGAGAGGAGCTAGGTGTGTGTGACCGACCCCGGGTCCCAGAGACGGGGAGGGAGGGGCCTCTGCACCCGCCGGGACCAGACCGGGCTGGGCTGTGGCCGAGCAGACAGAAGGCGTCCCGGAGTGAATTCCCAAACCGAGGCACCACGCCCGCCCACACGTGCTCCCACCGGCCCCGAGGCCTCGGGGTGCCCACACGGCCCGGCTCCCCCTCCCGCAGGAAGTGGGGGCGGCTGTGCCGCCAGGCGGGCCCACCGGGGAGGTGTCAGCTGTCCCTCCCGACAGGACACGGCCTCCGTGCGGTTCCTGCGTCAGGTCAGTTTCAGAGCCACTAAACGGATCAAGGACGACTGAACAGACAGGGGACAGCGTCTGGGCACAGAACTGGAGCTGGAGGTGCCGTCTGGGCACAGAACTGGAGCTGGAGGTGCCATCTGGGCACAGGCCTGGGGGTGCCGTCTGGGCACAGGCCTGGAGCTGGAGGTGCCGTATGGGCACAGGCCTGGAGCTGGAGGTGCCGTCTGGGCACAGGCCTGGAGCTGGAGGTGCCGTCTGGGCACAGAACTGGAGCTGGAGGTGCCATCTGGGCACAGAACTAGAGCTGGAGGTGCCATCTGGGCACAGGCCTGGGGGTGCCGTCTGGGCACAGGCCTGGAGCTGGAGGTGCCGTCTGGGCACAGGCCTGGGGGTGGGGGGGGCGCGAGCGGACCGGAGGGTGGATGCTCAGATGATCCGTGAGCCTCCTGGCGCTTTCCTAGCGGCTCCAGGAAG